TGCATTAACAGGCCTAGCGCCTATTTTTTTGCCATATTTCTTAGGATCTGTGAAAACTACTTACGATGCACGCCTTTTCATTTACCTGCTATTCATCACTTCAATTGGGTTTAATTATTAAATAAAAAGTTTTTTAACAAAGAACACCGACTTCGAAACACTCTAGTACCACTAAAAAGTTAAAAAAGATACTAAATCTAATAAATCAAATATTGAATCTAACCTATGTTATTTTTTTTGTTGACGTGGGGGAAATGCCTACGCATACCCGCCCCCGCGGGGGCAAAAACGGGTAATGTCGAACTTGCACCGACTAAAATCCCCACGATGTTACACCTAGGGCATATCGGTAGGGTCACGGGAAGGGGTCACACTTCCGTGACCCTGCCAGCGCTGGCCGCCTTAGCAGCCCCCTCACGGGGAGCAACTCCCCTCTCCTCCAGGTAAGGCGCGCTGGAACATTCAGCGCGCCTTCCTACTCGGCCCCATTTTCACGGCCAACGAACTACCCCCGAGTTCGCTGACTGGGGCCATGGGAGCCAAGAGAACCAGTGCTAATAAGCAGCAAGCCTCCCAGCCTGGTCTGTGGCTCCGCCGCTCACCACGTTTCGGCCGCGGAGAATAGGGAAAACGGCTCACCGCAATACCGACACTCCTCTCCTCCCGCGGCCCCACCACAGCTACATCAGTGGTGCACTCCTCCTCGCCCCACGCGAATCCGACACCCTACCCCGCGACTCCACCTCAGTAGAAGAAGACAGGGAGACTGGCTCTACCTCTACCACCCTTGACCTGTCCCCTGCACCTTCCAGCACCCATCCGGAGTGGGCTCAATGAGCCCACTCGGAGCGGCCCTCTCGGGCCGGCCTTACACCACAGGCCGGCCCAGTGTGGGTTCCTCTTAGCTTCGCCGTGGGGGACCAAGTCACGGCTACTAAGCCCCTCCGCCACGTCAAGGCGGGAACCCGGTCGGAGGGGTAACCTAGTAACCTAACCTATAACAAACTTTAACAATATTTGGACTCAATTCGATTGATGGTGGGAATCTGATATTGTGTGTTGTCCACGTGTAACTTGATGCCGGACTAGTCGAATGGCCGTTGGTGGCATATGAATATTGCTGAGGTCTTCCTACTTATGTGGAATTAAAGAGGCAGGGCTGAACTGATTATGACTGATTATTATATCATATCTGATATATTATATCTGAACTTAGTCAGCTATTAAACGCATTGCTTCATTTACTAAATGTAACTGTAGGTAAGTTAATAATAATCTAATTATTATCTTAATCGTTTAAGTACTGAGAGTTCTCTTTATCTTATATAACTTAGAATATAGTTTAACTGTAATCATCAATCATATACCAGGTTACATCTATTGTATAAATTATTAAATTCTGAGACTGTATAAGAAATATACTTTTGTTTCTATTTAGCCGATTCCATAGAATTAGCATTATTCTGTCTAGCACGGAGCGGGCTGGCACCAATTGAATATAAATTCTGCCCCGTGACTGAGTCACCAAGCCTCACCCTGTGTTCGCAATAAGTCTGATTGAATCAGCCGCAGCGAATCTCAATACCAAACTCTCTAATTCGAGGGGCTAAATTGGAATCTAACAACTCTAGGTAGAGCCAAATTTTTGATTTTTAAAGGAAAAGATGCCGTTCCGACACGACCTTGTAGACGTATTTTTTGACCTTGAAGTAGAATGTTCCCTTTCTGTCCGTTTTTATAGACAATGGTGCAGAATCCTGCGTGCTTAAAGCCGATACGCACTTGATATACCTTTTTTATATAAAAGTTTCTATAGGCTATATCCGATATACGAGGTGGACATTGATATTTTTATAAATATCGATACATCGAAATATCTAAATTTCATTTTGGTTTCTAACAACTCTAATAAGCTTTCTATACCTTTATATATATTGCTCTGTTGATGCGTATAAACCCGGCACCAAGCCTTTTTATTGTGCCGGCTGTTGTAGCAAGGGGAAACTGAAAATGAGCGCTACACAGCCAGCCTTATACCGGCTTATGTAGCAAATTTTTCGAAGATATGTGAAGTCCGCTAATTCTCACTGGGGCTTCGTTGTGGACTATGCCCTGATACCCCTCTGTACAGGGGAGGCCTTTGCCCAGCAGTGGGACATGTACAGGCTGATACTTTACATAAATAGTTGAATACTCTTTGAAATATCAAAGAGTCGGTTTTTTGTATGTGAATTGTGATTTTTAATTAAATTGAGATGAACCAATATTTTATGTACCTAATCTATTACAACCTTGGACTCTCTGAAACTTAAATTTACTCTGGATTTTAATTTTTAAATAGATAAACCACCATCTAGTGAGCAATGTATGAATTTCGTACATAACATACACGGCAATAATGAACTTAAATAGTTATCTGTATTGTCCACTAGATGGCGGAAAAGATACATACTAAAAAATTACAGTATACGACTTTAGTTGTTCGATATTGTATATTATATGTAATTAGTAATATAAGAATAACTAAATAAGTACATGGTAATGACATTGTACCCGTGTGACAGATGAAATGGAGCAAATAGTAAATACCATTTATGTTAAAGTAAAGTTACAGCCTATAATGTCCCACTGCTGCGCAAAGGCCTCCTCTGTACATAGGGTGTCAGGGCATAGTCGCGTGTTAGCCCCACTGCGGATTGGCGGACTGCACATATTTTCGAAATATTTTTTTTGTTTTTGTTATTATTTCGAAAGTAAGCAGGTTTCTTCTTGATGTTTTTTTTCCTTCAGCGCCGAGCACGTGATAAGTCAGCACTTAAAATTAACAATTTCATTGGTGCTGGCACCGGGGATCGAACTTAGGTTGCTCGAATAAATTGAATAAAAGACGAGCGCCCGGACGCTGAGCTATCACGGCTTTATTTATGTTTACTATGTTAATATAACATGAAATATTGCATGTCTTTTGCACACGTTTACAAAGCACATATAAAAGAACCTTAGATCGTACTAAATAAATCAAGAGCAAGAAAATGGCGCAGCGCATTAGGGAAGAGTTGACCAGCGTAGCGACAGCAGACTTCTGACAACATCAGATTTTTTTAAAGATGTTACAAAACGGTTTTTCGAAAGAACACCGAATCATCCCAACCCTCAAGTATTACCACGCAGAACTTTACCTACGTGATCCAAACGCGACTGTTGACAGACGTCCCAATGTCCTCATTGAATCGGTCGAGGCACGGGACGAAAATACCCAGGGGGTTCAGACCGACGTTTTGAATAGCAGTTGTTATAAATCATTACTTCTTAATTATTCGTCAATCTTCTTAGTTTGTATATATAATTTAAAAAAAATTGACGAACTAGTTTTAGTGGTCAGACAAGACCGAGCCTGCAACGTTAGCGAAGATCGGATAGAGCGAAGTGGATGTGTAAGACTAGGAAGGCAGACCCAACCATCAGAAGGGAATAATTATTGCATAGGAGTAAAGACATGAAAACATAAATAACGTTGGCTTAATGGATTCAAGAGACCTACACTAAAAATTGGTCAAATGGTTTGTACCATTAACGAAAAATTGGGCACTTCATTCTGGTATTACATCGTACAAAGCGATGTTTGCTCTATAGTCGCAAGTTTGAGCTTATGATTTTTAACTTGTACATGGAGCGAAAACTGAGCCTGTGGCTAGTTACAGTAACCAGCCTCAAACTGTAGCCGCAAACAGGCAAAAAGATGCAGTTCATCCAATGATGAGCCCTTAATAATACAAGCAAATGACAAAGATCTTGAAATTGTAGCATATATAATACACGTCAGAGAAAAGAATCATACAAACTTAGAAATTCAAGCCACGAGAATGACACTGGCTTCAGATTCAATACACACATTCCAGTTGAAATCGGTAATAATAAAATTACACAAAAATATCGTTATTTCGACTGATGTGTTAAAGGAGTGGCTCTTCAAAAGGATGAACAAGGTTTATACATTATGGAAACATGTGAACAATTGTTAGGTAAACGCTACTAAATAAATGCTCTGGTAAGTGTTGCAAATGTCCATGGGCGGCGGTTCTCATTTAACATCAGTTGAAACGCCAGCTCGTTTGCCATTTTCGTCAAAAGTTTCTGTGGATGTGTGGATGTGTCTTACACTTTAACGCAAAAACTACTTGATAGATCTAGATTAAATTTAGCACACAGATAGTTTATAACCTAGAGTAACAAATAAAATAGTTTCACTGGGATAACTGACATGCAGACAGGCGCAGACGCAAGCAACAGCTAGTACTTCTGTACTTGGGAAAACTTAATTATTTTATTTACGAATATTTATTGTTATCGCTATTATAATAAGCTAATTCTTCTCTATTTTTTTCAGGGCGGAATTCAACAGGTCCTAAAAAAATTCTTGCAAGTCAACGAAGAACCAAAGACAAATTTACCTTTGAGAAGTATCGCACCCCCAAAACACAGTTTTGTTTCTCCAGCTATAGCAACCATACTGTATTTTAATCTAATGTTTATAGCAAGTGAATTGTTAATAAACTTTTTTAAATCAACTAGTGTACCATTTTATTCACCCCCGAATAAAATATTTCACTCGTTCACATGAGCGAAGTTACTAGTATTTATTTCACAGCTATTGTCAACTAATCGGTATCGAAAAAAAGCAGTTTTACTGACGCTACGATGTTTCCCTGTTGAAAAATACAAACAGCTCAAAAATTAAAAACTTGTTTATGGTAGAGCGATCTCGTTTCTACGACTGAAAACACCGTCGGCCACCGGTTGCGCCTGTCCTTGCGTCGGTACCGATCATTATAAGCAAAGGTAACGGGCGGCACCCGACAGTCGGGGTCGAAACGCGCTCGGGAGCACTCGCAACTTATCCATCACTCCAGTCAAATAACAATTTACCGCGCACTTTCGGTGTAGGCAGTAACCTACGCTTTTCCACAGAACCGAAGCGTCGCGTCGAATCGGCCGGGACAATGGGTGATCGGGACCATATTCGCTGTATAGTTGACGGATGTAGGAACATGGAGAAGGACACGGATTTAACCTTTTACGTAATACCGGCGAATCCCGAAAGGTTAGATCGGATTTATTTTGATTATTTTTGTCGTATCTTGTTTATAGTTTAACAATAAAATAAATAGATTTATCACTGATGTACTGATGTAGTGGCGCCGTTATCAGAACACTGACGCTCGCCTGTAGGCCGGGGCGACGGGCTTGTCGTCTGAGGTCACTGGTTCGAATCTCGGTGGTATGTTGGGTAAGAATGAGTCTACAGTTGTGGTACTTTTTTTGGGGGTGCTATGAGGGTGACCTGACACTTTAAAACCTTGTTGGTGTATATGTGTTTGATGTTATCTCATATTACGCCCCCGGTGACGTTTTCGCATATATACGGGGCGGGGAGGCCTGCTGAATATTTTTTTTTATGGAGAAAAGGGGCAAGCGAGCAGGAGGCTCACCTGATGTTAAGTGATTACCGCCGCCCATGAACACCTGCAACACCCGAGGGCTCACAAATGCGTTGCCTCTTTTTGAAGGTTCCCTGTTCGTAACGGTTCGGAAAGACCGCCGGCGGCAGTTGGTTCCACAGAGTGGTTGTGCGAGGCAAGAAGTGCCTTAAAAATCGCGCTGTTGTGGAACGTTGGACATCGAGGTGGTGTGGATGAAATTTTTGGTTCTGGCGCGAAATCCGATGGTGGAATTCAAAAGGCGTGCTGAATACTGCAAATTGTTTATTTCCTTTTTTACTTTTCACCTTCCAGACGCGTCAAGTGGCTTAAAGCAATCGGGAGGACCGATTTGCTAGATAACATGTACATAAGGCAGATGGGGTACAGAGTGTGCTCTATACACTTCGAAAATTCTGACATATTCGAGGTCAGCATAAAGCGGGTGTTGCAACATGTGACGCCGTCTAAATACCTCTCGAGCGATTCGTACCCTCCGAACAACACTCGCACCGTTTCGACGCAAACCCTTGACGTCTATGGCAATGAGTGGGTCAACGTAAAGAAGGAGAAACAGGATTACGACGATCTCCCGGCGCTAACTGGCGGAATAAAGAGGGAAATAGATGATGAGCCGACAGCATCAACGTCAGCTGAACCGGGGACAGGCGACCCTCAAGAGCAACAGGTGGCGGAGAAGAAGATGAAGCTGTCTGAGTTTCCTCCAAACTAGAATGTCGTTCAAGTTTAATGATTATACTTGTTAGTGAAATAAAATCAGTTTAATTGGATGTTTTCTTGATTCGTAATGTTTCATTTGAGGCGTTGTCTCACTTCTGCCCACTCCGTCGCGTTGGAGTAAAATATTATAGTTAGACAAAAAAAGTCATGAAGAAGTATTTTTTACAAATTAAAAGGGCATTTTGACATTATTTTACAAATTGAAAGGGCATAAAACATATTCAGTATCATAGTGTAAACAAGTAACATTTATAAAAATGTTCAAAATAGTCCACTAGAACTAGCATTAATGTATTTTTCACAAATGGTCTATAACGTAATGTTCTTACTCTGAATATATCTCTTCAATTTTTTTTATACAAAATGAGAAAGAAATTGAAAAGGCCGTTTATGTTTCCGCAGCAATTGCCAAAAACCATAAACTTTATAGGTACATTAAGATATAAAGGAATATCACAAACATGCATCCCTCTCATAAAATCTTACACTTATAATTAGAACCTTGAGGAAATAGAAAACACATATTAACCGAGGAAACATATTGTGTTAATAATGAATTCAAATTTGAGCCTACATTTTCTATTAAACGATAAGTCTGTAGACATTAGGACGATCACTATAGTACTTTTTTTAATACTTTAATAAACTATACATTAGTTTATTAAAGTGTTTAATTTGAGAAGGTTGATACTGTATTTCTTTAACTATTTTTTTAATCAGTACTGTAGTTTGATACTGCTATAGTTAGGAGATGTAGGGAAATATTCAGGGGTGATCTAAACTTTTTTTTTAATAAATGGCATGGAAGAAAACGTCTCACTTAAAGTGCGCAATTTTATAGTATTCTGGATATTTATATGAATTAACAAATTTCCTAAATATCTTGTCCAGGTTAACCTTCTTTCAAGGCAGCGTCATTTTGTAATTCTATGATTTCTTATTCTATATTTTCTATATTTGTTATATCATTTTTCTTTAATTACGCACTTAAAATAGTAACATCAACGTTATGGACTAGATTTTGAAAAAAAAAATAAAGCTAATCGTCTAAGTGCTTTCTTTAAAATCATTACTTAATTTAGTTAGTTAATTAACGTATATTTAGAAACCTAAATGATTTTCTGTAAATGTTTTTAAAATTTGAGGAAAATATTTGTTTTGAAAAGCGTTAATTTAGCTTTAAATGCTATAATAGTACTTAACATATCTAACAAATCTTTATAGGTTAATAATTATGTTTAAGAACAGTTTAAAAAAACTAAATTTTAAATTAGTATTGAAGCATTACAGACGAACGGGGTGACCACCACTGCTTTAGGATAACAATATTCTTCCATCCTTACCGTAGAATTGTTGTCTACAATATATCATCCAATGATAAATTTCACAAAACAGCTATCTACGGGCCACTCAAATTGTTTTCCCTCAATCTAATTTCTAGTCGAATTCCACTCTGATATTTTTCGGATGACTCCGGTATTTGGGTTGTTACTAGTTATTAACTTTGAATTTATGAATGAAAAAATTATACATGAATTAAAAATTTAACAATTGTTTCTGTTTCTTACGAAAACTTAACATTTATATAAAGTATTTCAAACAAAATATAAAATATGTTTCGGAAATAGCATTTCAAATCTAAAATAAAAATAGGTACTTTATTAAATGAACACACAAATATGTAAGATATATTGCTACTACCTCTGTGTCTACAAAATTGATTTTTGGAGCCAACCAGGACTACGAGTAGGCTTGATTACGTTTATAATAAAAGAATTAAAAGTAAGTCATGCAAAAAGATTGGCCGCTGTGTACCGAACACTCTTTTCGTATGATCTTATGGTCATACGAAATGTTTTTATAGTTGCAAAAGCATTACGAATATTTTCAGGCTTAGTACCTTGGAAATTTCCAAGGCAAGTTCCAGGATTCTACTTAAAGCAAATTTATGATCGCGTGTACGATAATGTAAACCAGTGTTGCCTTTGCATTTTACGAACGCAAACCAAATGATGCAAGTGTTAAGTTCATCTCTAGCTTCAGTCCCTTGGTAATTTCCAAGTGTCGACTTTTCACGATAGCCATGGCAACCGTATTTTTCGCACCCATAAACACGTTACTTATATATAACATACCTCTTCGCAACGAATCTAATGAGAGGGCCTTACCATTCAATTGGAATAATTTCATATTGTCGTGTATCATACCCGATTTATTCAGATGTGTATTGACGCGCATGATTTTCTCGGGTTGGGATAATTACAATTTCAAATGAAGGAACGGGGCGGGAAATTTCCATCTTACCGCCGACATTACGGAGTGCAATTTTTTAAAATCGTGTATTGGGCATAGAAGCGAAATTACGTTGTCGTAAATTATAATAAATTTAGATACAGTTATGGTCTGGTATTCTCTGTTTATCTCAGCACCATTATTTAAGAGACATATCATAATAGATAATGTCGTTATTATTGTGAGTACTTAGCGTCAGTTTGTTCTATACAAACCTAGTCTTATGATTGGTACGCGATCGATTACTATCTGGACTTGGAACATTTTCAACATCCGGCGTTAGTTATTTCGAAAATGTAATTTTATCTCTTTTCTTTGTATCATTGGTACCGTAATGTAAGTTGTTTTAAATAATTTGTTCATTGATATTAAACATTTATTCTTTATTTAGTAGGGATAAGGCACTAGGTCTGAAAATGACTTTCTTTAGTGGCAATTTTAAAGATCACGTATTACGCACTTATGTAAAGTGGACCATGATAGTGTTTGAATAATGTCTAGTGCTGTCTGTGCAATTTACAAACGCAAATTAAATAATGCAAAGCTATGAAGTTTATCTCTAGCTCAATCATTATAATTATAAATACTTATCCGGGGAAATCGAAACACGGTCGCGTAGTCCATGGCTAAGTAACTGCATCAATTAATTCTTCAAAGGGAAGTAAAAATTGTACTTTACGTCTAGATTTCATAAAACTTAACAAATTAAACTTTGAAATTAGCTAACCACCAGAGTTGTTACATTTTTTCATATGATTTAAAAGTTGCATATAGGATTCTTCTAAATATTTTTTATATTCTTGTAACCCAGCAAAGGCTTAATAACTTATATATGATTAAAATCATTTCTAGGGTACAATAAAATGAATTGCTAAACGTGTCCACAGAGACAAGGTTTCAGTTTTTTTTTTCTATTACACAGAAAGACGTAAAAAACCTTTTTTTTGTTCCCGTTCAAACTGACTGGAACACATCCTTATGCATTTAACCAAACTTGTTTTCAGGCTAATAGAGGACTAATTAGCAAAATGAATAGTTAGCAAGGCGTTACAAAAATGAATGTTGCAATTTATAAAAATGTTTGTGAACAACTCCATTATTATCCTTACGCAATACCCCATAGGTGATATTCAAAACTATGTAGTGGCAGATTCGCTGGCACATTACCTGCCTCCTGAGTTATAAAGTATGTACCTACGTTCTTGTTGAATACCAAGTTACATTTTTAATAAGTGTCAAACACTGTCCCTTCGTTTATTTAAAATTTATTTTCCATTCTATAAAAAGGTGTTAGCAACAATGATTACATTGTACACACGCTTCAGTCGTAACATGGTCAGTTTCGATTTTGAATTAGTTTTCGCGTACCGCATCCATGACCATGATAATAAATTTTGACACCACTATAAGTAACATGTTTATGCGAATAAATGCTTATTATTATAAAGTCGAAACAATAACGAATTAAAGAAATCAACTTATTTCTCTACAGCATCTCCATTCAATGGTCGATGTATTAATTAAATAGTCACAATTTTCATATAACCGCTTCATCTGAAATAGCTTTTATCGATATGATGATGACTCATTAGAACAAAATGGATATTGCAATTATACCTGCAAAGTCCAGGTTTTGTCCATGATACAGGATCTAAGCTGATATCAAGTTTAGTAGGAGTACCAGGGATTTTGACGTGGAAGTTTGGTTTCAGTGGAAACCGGTTTTTACTTTTAGTTTCCATTTCTTTGAAAATGTAAAGTAACAGCCTATACACGTCCCACTGCTGGGCAAAGGCCTCCTCTATACAGAGGGTATCAGGGCATAGTCCACCACGCGGCCCCACTGCGGATTGGTGGACTTCACATATCTTTTATATTCATATTTTTTTTTTGTTATTATTTCGAAAATATGTTTCCTCACGATGTTTTCCTTCACCGCGGAGCACGTGATCAGTCAGCACTTAAAGTTAAAAACTTCATTGGTGCCTGCACCGGGGTTCCACCTCAAGTTGCTCGAGTATATTTAATTAAAGGCGCTCGCGCCTGGACACTGAGCTATCACGGCTAATTTAGTATTCTACATTAATTTTCATATTTGCCTCAGTATGTTAATTATATTAAAGTTATTTGTTTACATGCAAAGTAAATATGTATATATCATTATAGCAATTTAATTCAACACTTTTCAAAGCACTTCAAATTTTCAACGGCAGCAAATTTTCCTTTTTGATGTAATAACGCATTCAAGGCAAATGGCAAAAAGCCAGTTTATGACACATTATCTTTTTAATTTTACGATATCATTTAAGCGATCCTGTCCGTTACTAAGTTTACGTCGAACGCAATACACATTTTACCTACTTATTTTTTCTTCGTTAATTTTTCGACGCTTGTTTTCTTAATAATAAAAAAATTCACGTGTCCCGTGTCACTTGCCAATAACTATAAATATCAATTGTTGTTTCCAGTCCCAAGGACACACAAAATCAGGTTTTTATTTCAATCAAGGAAAACTTATCAAGAGTTTCTTACTTTGTTCGATATGAGTAAGACAATATATATATAATTATAGTTTTTATTGTGAATTCTAAGGTAAGATTGGACAGTGAAAACTAAAATGAATGTCTAGTTTTCCAAACTATTATATTCTTTACATATATTTAGACACTTGAAAAAATGGAAACATTCCGAAAGATA